CCCCCCCACCTAAAGTGACAACAAGCAATGATCTCCAGCCACCCAATTACTACGAGGTAATGGAGTTTGATCCTTTAGCTCCTGCTACAGAGTAAGTCATTTATACAATTATTAATTTATGTTTTGTTGTGGTTCTCTTGGATGACAGAGCTAACTGAGCTTGGTCATTCATTTAACTTTGTTTAGCTCTTGGGAAAAATTGATTGCCTTATTTAAAATGATTTATTAGGTTTTATGGTAGCTATTGCTCTTGATGGCCTTATTGTTCTCAGCCTGTGACTGAAAAATAAAAATACTAGGGTAGCACTTTAAGAAATAAGCAGAACTAACATTCTGCAGAGATTGGAGGCAAGGCACTATTCATTGCTGACATGGTAATGATACATTTTAAAACTCTTCTCCCAGAACTGGATCAAGACATGTGAAAGAACTTTTTGCATTCAACATGTCTGTTAAAATTATCCTTAAATGTGACTATTAATGTTAAAATTGTTTTGTAGCCAGGTATAGCCATATAGGACCCATATACTTTCAGCACATAGGAGACAGAAGTAGGAGGATTACATGGCCAGTGTAGGCTACATGGCAGAGCTTGACCAAAAGGAAAAGGAAAATGCCTTTAACTTGAAATCCTTAAGGTACCATCACTTAATGTTGTTTGCGAAGCTATAGATGGGACAGTAAACACATTATAGGGTTTTTATTTTGTGTTTTTTTTGCTCCATGCATGTCTGTGTACCACATGTATACCCTGAACCTGTGAAGACAAGAGGGCATCCAATTCCCTGGAACTGTTAGTATATACCATTGTAAACCTCTCTGTGGGCGCTGGGAATTGAACCTAAGTCCTCTGAAAAACAGCCAGTGCTCCTAACTGCTGCGCCATCTCTCTAGTTCCATATCATAGATTTAATATCCTCTTTTAAGTGACAGATTACCTCCCTCCCCCATTGTGAAAAATGCTCAAAAACAGGTTTTTGGAAATCACCATTCAGAAACTGGTAGCCTGAAGTCTATACCTGGTCTCCAGTTGTATTTTGTTTGATCTATACAGAATTTAAAATGTACATTTTAAAAATTAATTACCAGTAGTTAAGAACTAGTATAATCAAAACAGTCAGTACTTCTGAAGCTTTGGGATACTGTAGAAGTACCAGGCTTGCATTCTTGTATGCTAGCAAAGGCTGTGGTTGTGAGGAATATCTGTCTCCTGTATAGCATATACTCTGTAGTTCACCATGGTCCACTTGACCCATGACTGCCAACAGCCCAACACATGTAAGCATTTGATAGTGTCACCTTATTTAAGCCCTTAGAATAGACAGCTATTTTGGCATCATTTATTAGTAAGCCTTAATGGACACAGGAGACCTTCCTGCCCTGACATGAGTGCTGGGATTATAAGGCTGTACCACAACACCCAACTGCTAAGCACTTTTCCTAACTCGGGGTGACGGAATTTCCCTAAGTCAATGCTTAATAAAGTACCTATGTCACTGAACCTATTAGCAGTTAAAGAAACTGGTACTTAAATTCCACGTCCAGATACATCAGGTTCCTGAACATATTCCGATTAACTAACAGCTTTCCTTTGGTATGTCATGTTTAGGTGCCACAGGGGAGAAGCTCAGTAGACAACCTGCAGAACTGATACCCTGAACTCTTACTACCACGGGTTCTTGCTTTCTGGAGACTTGAGAGCCTCAGTTCCATTTTAGGTCTGATTAAATCCAGGAACTTCTAAGGAAAAGCGTAGAATCTTGGAAGTTCTGGAGTTTCCACACTGGTTGGCCAGGAATCCTAGGCCAAGAATTTTCTTTTCTTCCCAGTGGGACATATATTTATATGTTTATCTCCAGAATACACACAATTCTCTTGTTGAACATTTTCTATATACTGAAGGCAGTGACTATTATCTAATTCCGAATAAGACACTCTGTTCTTATAAACTTTAAATGTAATGTGGAGACATAAGTTAAAAAAACTGGCAGGCAAGTAAGTATTTGTAATTTATGCCAATAGTAAAGGATACAGTGACTAGAATGTGTGTAACAGGAATAAGTAACATAACTGGAGGCTAGAGGGGAATCAGAGGAGGCAGCATGCTGGCTTTTGCCAAGTCTACAAAATAACTTAAATAGAAACCCAGTAGAAAGTTTTAGCACATTCACCGAACTGGAACTGCCAACATGAAGAATGAAGAAATAGGGACCTATTGCCAGATGTGGATACTTAACCTGGGCATAGCTATGATGAACACTACCCAGAGTACAAAATAGGTCAAAACTCCAAAACTACAAATTGGATTAAGTTACATGGAAATGGATGGTTTTATTAAAAACCACTTTAGTGAACTGGAGACAGAAGAAGTGAAAATGAAAACACACACAGTAACTTTTAAGAACTTAAAATGTAAAATGATGGGCATGTCTTGGGAATTAGAAGAGCATTAAGGTAGGTTCTGGTAGCTATGGGATGAGAGACTGCAGAGGTAAAAAAAAAAAAAAAAAAAAACACTGGAGCTATGGAGGGTTAGAACTTAGTATAGAAGTTGAAGATTTGGAAAAGAGGGCATTTGTTGAAGAGGTATTTGAGAAGACAGAGGTTGACAGGACCATGAAAGGGCAAAGCACATAAAGGGGGGACTAAGAAAGGACAGTGAAGTTTCCATATTAAGAAAAGCAACTTTGTAAGACATGAGGTTTTTTTTCTGGAGAGGTACTATGATTAGTGGTTTAGGGAGGGTAAAAGGTAAAATTTACTTTATTGAAAGAAGTCCAGACTTTTTAGAAATATTGTAAAGTTTATGAAGTTCTTCAGTTTGTTTCATAATGCTGTTATTTTGAAGATTTCCCCAGCTGTATTTTGTTACCATTCTATATATGAATGCCAATTTTGGGAACAGAGTTATAAAGATACATATTAAAAAAACTAAGGGAAATTATTAAAAATTATAATTTATTAAAGGTACACAAATGACTAATATAAGCTAAAGGCTTCTCCCAAGTCTAGACTATAATACAATGTTAAATAACGCAAACTTAAATTTTTAAAATATTTTAAAATTCAGAGCTATTATTTTTAAGTTAAAAAAATTTGAGCCAGTTTTCCATTAAAATAAATTGGCTTTCAACAGGCATAGGAAAGAACTCTGACATTAGATGTTTTATGTTAGAATAAGCTCAAGGATAAAGATCTATGTTTTTATTCACTTAGAATGCCTAACCTCCCCAAACAGTCCGCATTTTGGTTTTGCTGGTGGTGATACAGTACTTTGAAAGATGTGTAATTTTTCTGCTTTGGTGGCTTTTTTTCAGAGCTGTTTATGAAGAAATTGATGCTTACCACCACAGAGGAGCTCAAAGTAATAGTGACTGCTGAGGTAAAAGACACCAGGTCATGCAACTTAACTTCCATGTAATTTCAGTGGAATTATCACATTTTGTATTGAATTCTATAAGGACCATGTAAGTTTGACACTCATTTTAGTATAATACCAAGTTCCTCTGAATTAGTCAGTGATAACCAGCACTCACTAATGAAATATAATCTCTGATCTTACTATCCAGAAATGAGGCATAGAATTCAAAAGTTGGTTTTGGTTATATCAAGTATTAATGCTAACAAAAACAGGTGATTGGTAGAAATTCCTTGTCATTTTAAAGCATCTCTTATGGCTTCAGAATGCAGTCCATACCTGCCAGCTGTACCAACAAACTCCATCATTAATACTCCTACACCAGGTATCCTATTTATACACTACCGGATGCCTGGTCTCCACTGACCTGTTCACTTTTTATTCTCTTCACATCTGCAACCTTCAAAGAAGTGCATTCCAGCTTTTCCTCTGCTTAACTGTGTGGCCTTCCAGTCCTTCAGGGAGTGTGGGAAATGGGCCAATGTCTTCCCTTTATTTCAGATGGATGATCTGATCATCACAAAGGGCCAGTCCCTGATCAACCCTCATCAACTGAGGCCTGACGGACAAGACCTGCAACAGTGGACCACCTCTCTGCTGGAAGCTTCAACAAGATAGTTAACACGTCTGGGCTAACACTACTGTTCCTGACCGTGGCTTGGGATTTAGGAGAACCTGGTTGTAACAATTTTAACAACCAGCACAATGGAAACTGCCTGGTACTAGGCCAACTGGTTAGACTGTAGACTCATGTTGTGCAGGCATTCCTACCAATACAAATCATGACACATCTATTAAGGGTACTTGTAGATCACTTTACTACAAGAAAGACATTGTGAACAGATGAGGACAAGAAATGAGGAAGAAAATGAGTGCCTTCATTTAACTGAATCTGAATGTAGAAATCAGTTTGCACTTGTTGATAAATAACACTTTGGTTTAGAACTGCTTTAAAGACTTGATGACTTGTTTAATTATGTTTCAAGTGCCTGAGTAGGCCACTGTATCAGGTGGCCTTTAAGTATAGTTCTTTATAATATTAAAACATTTTTGCCTTTTATTATATTTTACATTTTGATTTGAAACAAAGACTACTGGAAAACAGAACAGTGCATCATTCGCTTAAAATTAAATTACTATTAATTTCTCAGAGTTGTGTTGTTCCTGTTTTGTTTTGTTTGTTTTTTACCTCTAAGAGCTTTTAGGTCAGTCTTCACAATTTCATTCTTAAATGATAATAAACTTGGAAATTATGATGGTAAATGCTAGCACAGACTATTAGGTGTAATTCTTCTGTGAGATCATGATACCATCATTTCCATTATCTATTTAGTACTCTGAATAAAATAGCCCTCAATCTTAACAGAAAAGGCCACGCTTGATTAGGAATTCAAACTTGGAGCAAGCCTTAGAGCTTAGTGACTCTTCTTCCACTCTGAATTTTTAAAACTGTCGACTCGGCCAAAGATGCTCAACAGGTGAAGGCACTTGTTACCATGTCTGACAACCTCAGTTGGATTCCTGAAACCCTCATGGTAAAAGAAAACTATCTCCCACAGCATTTGCACTCACTACTATACTATCTGCTACAGCACGGGTGCCATTCACAAAATAAATAAGTATTAAAAAGTTTAAACAGTGCTGGTTTATACTGAAGGCCAACTGCCTTGCTTGGTGATAAGTTCCAGTCTATGAACTAAAACAGTTGGGCATACATTCTTTTTCTAAGTTTTCAGATACATTACTATACGTATGAAGGGCTAACACTACAGAAGGCAACTATAGAATTAAGGTGAACTATTAAAGCAGCTTATGTATGGGTGTGGGCAGCCAGAGCATGCATACAAAGGCAAGGTGAGCCCCCTGGCTTAACCTCCCACCTCACTTTAAGAACTCTGGGATTAAGGTGTGAGCTACCATATTCACTCCTTTAAGGCTGGTTCCAGGAATCAGAACTCAAGTTGTCAGGCCTCTGTGGCAAACACTTTAACCCACTGATTCATCTCCTGGGCCCTAGTGCAGTCTTTAACTGTCACATTGTTGTACACTGGGGAGTCATATGTTCACAGGCTTAGTGGACAACATTCATATTCCATTACTTAAAACTTAATTCATTTCCTTAAGCATCACCACAGGATAGCAGCATCTTTTCACCACAGACCGAGTTTCGAACCTGTTCTCTCAGTCATAAGTGGATTATAGAAATGAAATGGGGAAGGTAAAAACATTTAAAACACAAGGTTTCAATATACATTAGTGTACAATATTTCTCTTCTGAGAAAGTACAATACATGATTTTCCAAAAATCACAAATCTGAAGCAGGTGTTGGAAGCTACTTCAGTTATAGCCTGGAACTGGCAACTTGTGCCCTTCCTTTGCTTCAAAAAAAGTATAAGAAAGAGTGATGAGATCGACATTCACCATTCTTGGATCTTCTGCAAATTCAGGATCAATGTAGAAAAACACTGGCATATCTACTTCTTCTTGTGGATTAAGTCTTTGTTCTTCAAAGCAGAAGCACTACAAATTATAGAAAGATACTCGATGAGTAACAGTCTTACTCTATTACTTAAAACAAACCAATATTCATTTCCTGCCCTCAAATGCCATTATAAGATAGCAGCATCTTTTCATCGAACACTGAGTTTTGCTTTGAGGGTTAGAAGCAACTTAATTCTAATCTTAGAAACAAATAGAGTAGCCAGGTGTAGTGGTGCAGCCCTTTTATTCCACCACTTGGAAGGCAGGTGAGTCTCTGGGAGTTCGAGAAAGCCTTGGTCTACACAGAGTTCCAGGGCAGCCACGATTACATAGATCCTGTCTTAAAACAAACAAAAGGAACAAGCACTAGCTAGAAGGTGTAGGCAATGAAGATTTTAATAAGACTTTATATTTGGACAAAATACGTACTGACTTCAGCTTTTATTTTTATTTTTTCTGAAACGGGGTCTCACAATGTTATCTAGGTTGGCCTAGAATCTATGCCATATCTGGACTGGCCTCTACCTCATGGCCCTGCTCCCATCTCAGCCTCCTGAGTACTATTATAGGCATGAAGCACAACACCCAGCCAAAATGAAGTTTTAGAAATTAAAAACATTTAATTCATATTAAGCAGCTTCTCATACTTTTATCATAAAGTTGACATTCAGTTTACCTGTATTTTATTGAAATACTGTCCGGCTTCAAATGGTACAACATTATATGTAGAAATTCCAATTACTGGTTTATCAGTAGGATTCTTAGCTTTATAAAATGCCAGTGCAGTCTCTCCTGGTACCACCTGTTTCAATAAACACATGTTAACTCTAATGCCATTCTTCCTTCTGCTAAATTAAGAATCATATCATTTGCCTATTAATTGGATCATAACACCTAACCTAATGTAGTGTGAAAATTACAAGCCTATCTTAGTTTCAGACTGTATTTGCTTACATCAATAAAGAATCATTGTTATGAATGTCCCTGTTGGTTGTCTGATGTTCTTCAAGCAAAATTCTACAGATTAGTTACAATGTGTCCAAGGACAGGACAGGCAAACCAAAGTTCAAGCCCAACTACTCTGTAACAGTTAAACCTGAATGTCATGATTGACAACTTTTTGAAGGATGCTAATGTCAAACTTACCTTAATTCTGAATAACTTAAACCATAGTAAAACTGACTGAATAAAATTTGTTAAAAGGTGTTAATACCCTGAGGAATTAAAACACAAACAAAAACGGCAACCAAGGCTGTAAAAGTTTCCATTGGGCATTATGCCACCTGTAACAATTCACTATCACCTTGTTTACTGCCATGCAATTTGAACCACCATGCAAAACCGTAACTTACAAAATGCTTAATATGATTTAGGTGATGTTTACTGAACTGGACAGGCACTCTGATTTATAAGGGTTTGTTAATAATAGCCTCAAATCCTCAAATCCAGGACTACAATTATTGTTTGCCTAGCACATACAGGGCCCTTGGTTCACATTTCAGTATTCTCTCCCCACCCATTACATTTTTTTTCTTTTTGAGGGATAGAAATAATTCTGATAAACTAGTAAATTACTTTTTATTATTATCAATGATTATCCACATTTTTTTCTATTATCATTTATACCAGAGTAAAAGTCAGGAAGCTATATAATATGACCAGGTATTGCTATTCGTTCAACATTAATGACCAAAAGATTCAGTCATCTTTTAATCATATGATAAACACATGACATTGTTCCAAGTTGATTCAAAGTTAAAGTATAGCGAGCACCATACACACTCAATGCTTCTATACATCTAATTCACTTAGATCTTAATGCCATAGTTGAATATTTTTAAGGGGATAGAAATGTTAAACTGACCTTAAATCTAATTACAATAAGCTTACAAACAGAATAAAACTGACTAAATAAAACTTTTAAAAATCAAGAAAAATAGCAAGCCAGGCTAAGCTGAGGCAGAACCACAAGTTTCAGGCCAGGCTACACACTGAAACTCTGTCACAAAAACCCCAAATGTTATGGTTACATTTAACGGTAAGGTACTATTAAAAAGTGGACATTTTTAAAGCACTAATAACTGAAGAATCGTGAATCACAGAGTACAAATATTTTAAGTGTAATTATTCATGGGGTGTACTAGCATCTTGAAAAAAGCTCAGAAGGTTTGACAGTCTAAGCAATGGACACATTAGTCACTTACATATATCTCCGTTTGCTGAGGTCTGAAGTTCCACTGGAGACTGGCATGAACATCAGCATTGAAAGTGACCTTAATGATCCGATCCTTCACAGGTACCATGTTTTCAACCTTGTCTGACGAGTGCCCGGCCACTGCTGATCCTCCAAGTCCAGTAGTCTAGAATGAGACATTGGGTACATTAAGCAACAATTTTAAGATCTCCACTTACTAGGTAAAAGTAAAATTTGGAAAACAACTGAAAGTTCTACTTGGAGCCAAGCTGACCATTTCCTGTAACTGTATCAATGGTTTACCTATATTTGTAGAAGTAATGTCTTTTCAGAAATGAGTAATTTTAAAAAGCAGGTTTTGAAAACTATTGTCACTGAGAGTATAGTAAAAATTTTTAAGTGGAACTTTCATTAAACACAGGTCCCTTCATTGTTAGTATATTTTTAATAAACTATTACTCACTTAAAAAAGGAAAAGTTTATCTGAACCTAGTCATTTCAACTAAATCACAGAAATATCTAACTTTTCCTTATTCCCATGTATCCTTTTCTATACCATAGTTTTTATACTTCAAATTAGTTTGTAACTATATTTTTATAATCTACTTTTCTAGGGCATCATATTTTCCCCAGGTTGGTGGGTTAATGTTTAGCCTTTTATCCTTAATCACCAGTTAATATGAGTACCTGACCTTTTTTTTTTTGGCTACCCAGCCAACTACCATAAAACAGTAATTTACAAAAGAGTAAAGAGTAAATTGTATCTGACATTTCTTCATTGCCATTATTTCCTTATTGGATATGGGGGAGGTGTTGCTTCCAAGACATTCTGCTGCTTGAGGTTACCAGAATTCTGATTTCCAGATAACTTACCTTTCCTATGCTAGAAATAAAACAAAACACCAAATTTGAGGCTAAGAAAATACCCTAAAAACCTACCCTAGTAATACTTCATTAGGTTTCTTTTGCTTGTTACAAATGTTACTTGTTAGCTTCATTCAATTTCTCTCAAAAATGTCAAACTGCACTTCAATCCTATAAGATAAATCGCAGGGCAAGTATTTGAACTTATTTCACAAGTATATGATTCTGTAAGAGATTGAATTTTAAGATAAACTATTTTTTTTTCCTAAAGAATTCAAGTCAGTTGAATAAAAAGTAATCTAAGTGAAATATCAATTCCTTATATATTCCTGGGACGCACGTTATTAAAGTTTCTCAAGTTCGGGGCTTAAACTAAAATAGACGAAAACAGGTAGAAAACAAGCACTAACATGATGTTCTGGGCTCAATCACTATTAGTGAGTACCATAGTTCCTTTTAATTATATTTTAATTTGCTCTTAAATGGGGCACAAGTAACAGAGCATTCTTCTGGAGACGGCAGCGTTTTAACATGGAACTTGGTTTTAGGGGTTACCCTTAAACCTAGCCTGTGAACGTACACGGAGGAGCGTCTGTTACTTCCATTTCTGTCATCACTACTGTCACCTTAGGTTGGACAATTCTGTTTTGGGGGGCGGGGCGCCCTGTGAACCTTCAGGTCTGTGACAGCCCCTCTCACCTCTACTCCCCCAGGGCCCGGGGATAACCCTCGGCGCTCTCAGGTAAGCTCACTCCTTCTGAGGCGTGGTACCAGCTCCATCCTTCCCGAGACCTGCGGGTTGTTCTGTGGTGACCTTGAGCACGCCCGGCCTGGAACCTCGGTCTCCCCGTTCCTACCGCAGCCCCGCGGGGTGACGGCGCGGGTGGGACGGGCCCTGCACCTCGTCCCTCCCTACCTGGCAGTACAGCCGATAGAGGGGCACCGCGGCGTAGGAAGCCCCCAGCATGCCCACGGCGGCCGCGGCCACGTACGTGAGCACCGTCTTGTTCCGCCGGCGCCACTCGTCCTCCTGCGCGCGCTGGAAAGGGTTGCTGCTCCCGGGACGCCTCGGCGGCTGCGGGACGGGACCCCGGTTCCTCCCGCTCGGGCGCGTCCACGTCCCGAGCCGCCTCGGCCCCCGCTCCGCACCTGCGAGGGCATCCCACCCGGGCCTAAGAACCCGCTCTGCATCCTCCACGGTCCGGCCCGACCACCCAGGCTGGCACCAGCGCCGGCCACACGCGGCCACGATCCTCCCTCCCGGACACCAAAGCCCTCCCATCACCCCCCGGAAAGAACGCCCGCCCGTCAGGGCCGCTAAGCGAGATCTCGCGAGACCCGCCCCGTCTCGCGGTACCCGAGCTGAGCCCCGCCGCTGCCTTGACTACCAGATTCCACAGGTAGCAGTCGGGCTACGGAGGCCGGGTGGCCAGAAGAGGGTAAGTTCGCGTTTTTGCCAGGTGGCTGTCCCTCGCGCTTTGTTTCCCTCTGATACTTTTTTAAATTTACTTTGAGGAGAATGCATTTGGGCCTTCCGCGTGCAAGATCCTTACTAGGGATGGTAACCCCATCTTCCCAAACTCCACCAGCCTTTGTCCAGACCTGGCGGCCCCCAGCGGCAACCCTCCCGCGGGGCTTCCACTTGGGGCTCCGTGGCCCCTTTGCTGACTGCCTCTGACCTGAACTCAGGCAACCTTCCCTCTTTGGGGAAGACTTAACTTTGCGGTCCGCATCCCTCTCCAACGCTCTAGACATCCGCATGTTCCCAGCCCACTGGCAGCCGTCGACCACTGCGCTGATGTCCCCTTTAGTTATTTCCCCAGCAAAAGCATCAAGTCGGAGAGCCGCTGGCAAACTGAAGTTTGTTGAGAACAGAAGGACCAGGATGTGAGGGCCTTTAAATGATTGGCTGAAGGAGTAAGGGTTTTCACCTTGCAGACAGAGACCCCTGGGGAAATATGCTTTTAAAAAAAGAAAAAGAAAGAAAGAAAGCTAAGAGCAGAATCTGAGGTTAAACATTAATGAATTTGCTGTAGTCTTTGTCCTTACATAAATTGTATTTTATTGTAACTTCGCTGTAATCTGATGGCTTTATTTCATGACTGGATAAAAATGTAAAGTGAATTTCCCATTGCTTGAGGCATAGTAAGAATTTTATGAAAGTTAGGTCTTATTTCTTTTCAAAAAATAATGTTTTTGTTAATTCCTTGAGGATATTTTACTCTGTGTTTTTGATTATATTCACCCCCCCCCCTCCAGGCTTGTCCCAGATCTACCCTCACCTCCCTCTCCACTCACCCACCTTGAGTCCAGTCTGATGGCCAGCTCCTCTTTGATGTGCCAGCCTTTGAGTGTGACTGATGTACCAGTGGTCACACCATTAAGGAAAACTGACTTTCCCTCTTCTAGAAGCTATCAAATGCCAACATCCTCTCTCATACCCACCTTCCCACCTCCTTATAACTAGACCTTGTTTCTAATAGCTGGAGTGGCCCATAGAACTCTCAGTCAACACTTCTTCCTCACACTCTGACCGAACCATACACTTTTTAATTTGCTGGGCATCATCCAAAAATAAGTCTGGCGCAGTTACTTTTGTTATTGATTGCAGTCCCTAGTGATGGACTCAGAAAGCAAACTTGTAAATAAGGGAATCTCAGTAACAGTGTCATGAAAGTAGCTGATGGCATGAAGACATCGAGAGCGACAGGGAAGAGGGATCCTGAAGTTCTTTCTCTGTAATGGGTAAAATATCGTCTTCCTAGAGGTGACCTATGAGCCTGTAACTCCTGAATGCGGGGGGGGGGGGGGGGGGGGGGGGGGGGGGGGGGAAAGAAGAGAGGGGGAGGGAGAGCTACCAGGAAACAATAATCTCAGGCCATACACAAGTCCAGAGCAGGAGTAAATTGGATTGGATTAAAGAATGACAAAACAGGGTCAGTGTGAACCTTGCATAATGAGCAGAGCTAAAGCTGGAAGGAAATGGGGTCACAGCAGGTATCCAGAGACTTGATACTACAAAGCCATTTAAGTCCCGTATAAGGGAAGCATAGTGTTAGAACACAAGAGTGATTTGATCTGATTTTAGTCACAATGAAGGAAGAATAAGATGGTCACATGGTGAGAATGACAGGGGGAAGGGAAAGAAGCAGAAGTGAGGAGGCACCTTAGTAGTAGTCTAAATGGAGACAATGGCCTATAGTAAGTAACCAGTTAGTGGTCACAGAGCCACTAAATTGCAGCACCAGTAAAATCCAGTTATTTTCCGGCTGTAGTCATTGTCTAGTACATCATTCTAGTACAGTGTCACACTTTCATCTTGTTATGACAGTGTTTGGCCACCCTTTCTCTCTGTATGTACCTTGATTCTTACACCGCATTGTCAAATATTCAGGATAAGACCTCTCATATTTTAATTTTCTGACTCAGAGTCCATACTACGGGGCTGGAGAGGTACCTCAGAGGTTAATAGCATTTGCTGTTCTTGCAGAGGGCCTGGGTTCAGTTCCCAGAACTCACCTAGGTACTCAGAACTGTCGCTGTCTATAGTTCCTAGGGGTCTGATACCCTTTTCTAGCCCCTTCGGGCACTGCACACACACGGTGCACACATACGTACAGACAATACACTTGTAAATTTTAAAAATCCTATGCTAACGGTTGCTTGAAGCCAACAGTATATTGCCTTCAATTTTTTTTTCCCCTCCAGGTATTTTTCTCCATATTATTCAAAGTAGTTTTATAAATAGGTCTATAATAGACTTGTAATCATGAATGCTTTTATTTATTAATTGAAAGTGAATACCTAACCAGGGGTAATGGCTTATGCATATAATCCCAGCACTCAGGGAGGCAGAGGCAGGCAGATCTCTGTGAGTTCAAGGCCAGGCTGGTCTACAAAAGTGAGTCCAGAACAGCTAAGGCTGCACAGAGAAACCCTGTCTCAAAAAACCAAAAAAAAAAAAAAAAAAAAAGAAAGAAAGAAAGAAAGTAAATATCTGAGGTATAGCAATTTGTTTTTATTTTAATTTAAAAAGTGTTTATTTTTTACTATATTTTTTTATTTATTACAGTTTATTCACTTTGTAGCCCAGCTGTAGCCTCCATCCTCGTCCCCTCCAAATCCTACCCTCCCTCATCTCCTCCCATGTCCCTTCCCCAGTCCACTGATAGGGGAGAACCTCCTACCCTTTCATCTAACCCTATCAGGTCTCATCAGGACTGTCTTTCATAGTCTTCCTCTGTGGCCTGGTAAGCACCCCCCCCCCCTCAGTGGGAGGTGATCAAAGATCCAGCCACTGAGTTCATGTCAGACACAGTCCCTGTTCCCATTACTCAGCCACTTGGACACTGAGCTTCCATGGGCCACATTTGTGCAGGGGTTCTAGTTTCTCTCTATGAATGGTCCTTGGTTGGAGTATCAGTCTCAGAAAAGACCCCTGGGCCCAGATTTTTTGGTTCTGTTTTTCTTGTTGTGGAGCTCCAGACCCTTCCAGATCTATCTTCCCCTTCTTTCATAAGATTCCCTGCACTCTGCCCAAAGTTTGGCTATGTATCTCAGCATCTGCTTTAATATCCAGCTGGGTAGAGTCTTTCAGAGGCCCTCTGTAGTAGGCTCCTATCTTGTTCCTTGTTTTCACCTTCTGATGTCTATCCTCTATCCTATTTGCCTTTCTGAATGAGGATTGATCATCTCACCCCGGGTCTTCCTTCTTGCTTAGCTTCTTTAGGTATACAGATTTTAGTATGGTTATCCTATATTATATGTCTAATATCCACTTATAAGTGAGTATATACCATGTGTGTCTTTCTGCTTCTGGGATAGCTCACACAGGATGATCTTTTCTAGTTCCCACCATTTGCCTGCAAATTTCATGATTTCCTTGTTTTTAATTTCTGAGTAGTATTCCATTGTGTAAATGGAGGTACAGCAGTTTTGATAGCAGTAAAGTGATGTAGGTCTTTCTAGATTTCTCTTTTAATAAAATGAAATAGGCACCAATCCAATTTCTATATGATGATGTAAAATTGTAAAATGACAGCTCATATTTATGATAATGTTTCTGGATGATAAACTATTCAGTTTCTGATTCTCACGTTGAAATAATTTAAGTTATATAAATGTTGCAGAACTAATAAATGTTCCACTTATCCTTCACCCAGTTTTCCTAATCTTTTAAGATCTTTATACCATTTGAGAAGAGAGCAGACATGATATTTTGGAACTGTAAACTGAATACTAATATGAGTGTTGACTATAAGAACACAACACAGCCATTAAAATCATGTATTTAACATCAATCCAATATTACCACGCTATTGCCTTGGGCCACCATAAACACTTCAAACTAGGTTACTCAAAAGGTATTATGTTTCTAGAGGCTGGAAAACCAAGATCAAGGAGCTAGCTAGTCTATTTTCTCATGAAGGTTCTCCCTTACTTGTAGTAGCCTCGTGTCCTAGCATCCAGGGAAGAGTCTGCAAGCTTGGTGATGCCATTCTTGTGGGCACACTAACCCCATCTGACCCATCAGTTGTTCCACCATTGTGATCTCGTTTAATCTTAACAAGTCTTTCATCCGGATAGAGCTGCACTGGGGTCAGTGTTTCAACATGAGGATTTTAGGGAACATGTCCTTTCAGAACTTCACACCATGGTGTTCATGGACACTGCTTAACTTAATACCACTTGTGCCAGTTATTTCTAACTTAGTCCTAGAATCCAATCCAAGAAGGCCCCTTTTTGTCCTGCCTCTTTAGTTTTCAGCAGTCTGAAACAGTTCTTTAGCCTGTCTACGTGGCCTTGATATTTTTAATTACCAGCTGGTTAATCGGTATAGTGCCCCTTGGTATATGTTTATATGAGTTTTGTGTGTGATGCTTTCTTGTGGTTTATGAGCCTCCGATAGAAACACAGCAGAAGTGATGGGCTCATCTCATTGAATTTCCTTAGGAGTCATATAGTGTCAACTTGCTTCATTACTCATGTTTTTATTTCTTTAATGAGATGGATCTTGAGGGATATGTTTGTTTTTATTTTTGTTGTTTTGAGTTTGCCGAAGAATCCCAGGCTGGCTTCAAACTCACAATCCTCCTGCATCAGCCTCCAGCACTGCAGTTACAGATGTATATACCACCACACCTGGCCAAGTCTCATTTATCACAAGGTCATAAAAAAAAATATGTTATGGTCATTAAGAATCAACTACTGAATGTTGTGGGGAGAACTATTGGAATTATTGGCAGAGTGTTACTCCGTTATGCATTCTTATTTGCTTTTGTGTTTATGTCATTATAGACCCATGAATCCTATTCTAATTAAGGGTAAAATTTACCTTTTCCATGTTCCTCTTGCATTTTTTCCTGCTCTGACCTTGGTATCAGCTGTTACTGCAGGAGTTTGGCTTCCTTTAGGGGAGAGTGATACTTAGACAAAAAGC